GTAGCTGTCCTTTAGGCTGTCTAGAGCAGTGGTAATCAACCTGGTCCCTACCGCCCACTAGTGGACGTTCCAGCTTTCATGGTGGGCGGTAGGGGTTTGCTGTAATTCCGCTTTCTAAATTTTATAAAGTAAAGTTACTTTCCTACTTTATAAATCACCATACCTGTGGAACCGTTGGGCGGTTAGAAAATTTTACTACTAACAGAGATACAAAAGTGGGCGCGCGGTAGGTATAAAAAGGTTGACTAGCCCTGGTCTACAGCAAGAGCGGGTAAATATGGAACCTTTACGACCTGTGGACTTCAACTCCCAGAATTCCTGAGCCAGCAGGAAGTCCACCGTTGTAAATTTGGCCGAGTTGTCCACTCCTGATGTAGAGAGGTTTTTTGGGGTGATCTGGCAGAAATGGGAAAACTGACCTGTCCATCAGAGAACAAAACTTTTTTTTTTTAAATTCCAGATGTCTTATAAAGTTTTTTTGCTAAAAGAAGAGGGTGGGAATTAATTGAAGTTTTATGCATTGGAAGGCTAAGAAAGACAAGGATTAAAGAAAATAAAGGGCAAAAAGACTTCTAGAATATGGAAGAGGGAGGAGGGAGAATATGAATGGCCAGAAGTCATAAACATATTTCTTAACTTTGTTTTCTGTTTTTCTGTTTTTTTATTTTAGTTTGTTATAATATTATAAGACAGAGATAAAAGAGAATACTTGCAGCTCAGGGTTGAAATGAGGAGTCCTTGGTGTTCTCTGTTTTCTTGCAGATGTTTCATCACTCAACTAAGGTAATGTCATCTGTTAGTTAGCACTGATGGCATTACCTAGTTTGGTAATGAAATGTTGCAAGAAAACAACCAAGCTCAGAGAACACCAAGGACTCCTCGGTATTACATGCCAATTTTCAATCAATCTTTTAAAAAGAGAGAGAGAACATTTCAGGGGAGAGTATGCTATTGTAGATAGGAAGATCAATATATGAAGAATAGGCCTTCCACAAACATGGGACGTCATCCCTCTAAAGGCAACATTGAATTAAAACTTTAGAAAGAGAATCTCAGGGCCAAGATTTGCCCTATTGGCAAGCTGGCCATCATAAAAATGTAGTAAACCTACAAACTTTAGAAAAAAGAAACCAAAGCTAATACGCCTTCATCTAAACAAGTGGATTTTATGGCAGGATTTCCTAGAGAGGATTTTGAGAGACCTGTTCAGTCTCTCTTAATTCTTCAGGATTGGAAAATCTCTAATTTATAAAAACAGGGGATGTTTTCTTCTTAATCCCAGATTAGGGATTTTTATTTAGAGGCAGGCTTTTTTTTTAAAGAATGAAAAATAAAAATCCATCCTCATGGGTTTGGGCTTAATGTAGACACACACACCCCAGCCATTGATTCCAGATGTAGAGTGGGAGGCAGAGATATTATTATTTAATAAGAACATTTAAACTCATGGCCATCTTTAAGCACTTTTCAGGCACCCCAGTACACTGTGGGGCCATTTGGAACTTGCCAATCGGAAATGGGATCACTGCTTGGTGGCCTATCCAGGCTGGATAGAAAACATGACTCAAAACACTACTGGATCGCCACTCTTCTCGTCACTAAAAGTGCTTGGCAAGTGATGGGACTTGTAGTCCAGCTCTAAGAGGACCATCTGCAAAAAGCCCTCCAGAACACAGTAAACTGTTCAGAAAAAAACAATTAGGGCACCATATAAATAAATAAAATAAGCACATCTTCTTTATCTCTTTCCACCCAGATGGGGCATAGGGAAGCAGGAGAGAATGGGACCTCTAAGTTCAAATTTATGGAGAACCACTTGGGTGGGCTATTCTCTCCCCCCCCACCCCAGTCCAAGATATCTTCCATGGCTCAAATAGGAGGGGGGGGGGGCTCTTGAAAGAACTTTCTAAGGCAGTGTTTCTCAACCTTGGCGACTTTAAGTCCTGTGGACTTCAACTCCCAGAATCCCCCAGCCAGCACAACTGGCTGGGGAATTCTGGGAGTTGAAGTCCACAGAACTTAAAGTCGCCAAGGTTGAGAAACACTGCCTTAGAAAGTTCTTTCAAGAGCCCCCCCCCCACTCCTATTTGAGCCATGGAAGATATCTTGGACTGGGGTGGGGGGGGGGGGAAA